CATCATCGTCATCATCATCCTCATCATCATCATCATCATCATCATCATCATCATCATCATCATCATCATCATCATCATCATCATCATCATCATCATCACTATTATTATTACTATTGTTATTGTTATTATCTTTCTTAGTGGGTTCACGACAATGCAGAGCTGATGGGTGGCGATCCGTCCAAGATCACCATCTTCGGCGAGAGTGCAGGAGCCGTAAGCGTGGGCTACCACCTCCTGTCCCCTCGCTCCATGCACCTCATCAACAACGCCATTATGATGAGCGGCTCGCCGACCGTCTCCTGGGGTGTACAGGTGAGATTTGGTTCGGCAGAGGATTCTTCTGCTGCTGGACAATCGCTAAAGACAGTGAAAATAGAATAGAAGCAAAAGAAATGTGGGTTTTTATGAGGCTGCTGAGAATATCGAGGAAAGAAAAGAAATCAAATGAGGTAGTGGATGATAAAGCCCGCGTGGGACGCTCACTGTTAAAAAACAATCATGAAATGACAAATGCAGTTTTGGGACACCTGAATGGACATAAAGGACTTGAATTTGCAAAATTGAAGGTAAGCAAGGCCGGGGTAGATCTAGGCCAAGTGCAATCTACTAGAGAACCTAAACAAATTAATAACGGGGAACGAACAGGGTAAAGTAGCTGCAAAGGAATGAATTGAGAACCGTGATAGCCGATGTGTGCCGCAAATCTGGTACTTACTGATAATGATGATTCTTCTGCTCCCGTAGATTTGTAATCCGTTAGATCGCCTCTGACAGATGACTAAAAAACCCACTCCTCTCGGCTCTTTGAGTATTGTTGGAGTTTTATCTTAACAGACAGTGTAATATCCAGTTTTGGACGAAATAGAGTTATTGATTCCATTTGATAGTTTAAAAACACTGTGCCGATAGCTGAAGAAATAAGACGAGGAAATTGTTTTGAAGAATATATTCAGAGCGTCTGATTGTTGTGGGGCAAAAATATGTGTGTGTGTTTGTTTGTTTTTGTGTGCGCGTGTGTGTGTGTGTGTGTGGGGGGGGGGGCTCTCCTGAACATTTGACGAAAGTGGATGTACTGTCTCTTAAAATAAAACTCCAGATTGAGTCCCTTTGAATACTGTTTAGGAAATGATGACGGTGTGGTGGGGGTGTCTTTATTGTGTTGATGGTGGCAGTGATAGTGGTGGTTGTGGCTTTCTTTGTTTAGGTGATGGTGATATTATTACCGTGCCCAGGCAGACCCTAGAGCACTGAGAAACATCCTCGGCTTCTCGGGAGGCCTACAATACATGCAAGCAGCTAATTAAGGGCCTAAACACTAACACATTGACAAGATCTTTCTCCATCATAATAATAATCTTATCTTATGCGACGTCATTACAACAGGACAGGGTTTTGGCAATGGACCGCTCCAAAAAGCTGGCGAGGAGTGTTTCCTGCCCGACGTCAAGCCACGCCGGGATGATGGACTGTCTCAGGTCAGCTGACCCACTAGAGCTTGTGACGAAGCAATGGGACTTGATCTCTTCCTTCTTTGACGTGCCGATCGGGCCCGTGGTGGACGGTACTTTCCTCACAGACCATCCAGCAGAGCTTCTCGCTCGTCGCCAGGTAGAAGTGGTTGTTTGAATCGTTGATTGGTCGTAATTACTTGGTTGCCTCTGTCCTTTTGAAATACCAGTTTCACTCTTTTGTTTATTGGGGGTTTTTTTCCCTCTAGGTTTCTTTTATATGTATACACACATATTATTACACTCATACAACATCTCTCTCTCTCGCAGCCCCCCGCAGCCCCTCTCTCTCTCTCTCTCTCTCTCTCTCTCTCTCTCTCTCTCTCTCTCTCTCTCACTCTCTCCAGATGTCACTCCTCATTCTTTAAGCTTTTTGCTGCTGGTCTTCTGTGTGCATTTTTTTCTAGATTTCGAGCCTGAGTTGGCATTTTAGTTACGTAACCAACATAATGATACATTTTTATCCATTATTATGATTGGTATTTTACATCATTCTTAGGTCTTGTAGATTTGGGTTGATGGATGTTTTTTGTTTTTGTTTTGGGTTTTTTTTTAAAGACAAGTTCCAACATTAGAAAAGGAGGTGTAAGGCAAAATCATCGTATCGATGTTGATGTGAAACTAATGTAGAGTAGTAATGGTGACCCAGCGTTTAAAAGTGTGTTGACTACGAGCAACTGTCATTGTCTGGCAAATTTGACTCAAATATAAAGCTGTTTGGTTTTAGTGGGTCGTACACGAAACATAATTTGTGTGTGTGTGTGTGTGTGTGTGTGTGTGTGTGTGTGTGTGTGTTTGTGTGTGTGTGTGTGTGTGTGTGTGTGTGTGTGTGTGATAGGTATGAGGTGAGAAGTTTTTATTTGGGGAGGGGGGGCTTGTTTTCGCAGTGTACTTGTTGTGGTTCACGATGGTGAGGTTTTGGCAATGTTGCTGTCGCTAATGTTTTTGGTGTGTTTGTTTGGTTTGGATAAAGAGAACTGCC